AAATGAACACAATTATGCATACTTTATTATGCTAATATTTAAGTGCTCATAATGATTTTGGACATTTTCTAAACGTCTATTTGTAATTTCTTAAATTCATCTGAAAAATCACCATTATTAAGCATTTGCTAAACCCCTTTACAATTTCCTTTATTCTTGTGTGTGTGTGTGTGTGTGTGTGTGTGTGTGTGTGTGAAGGTAGGTGTGCACAGGCACAGCCCATGGCTAGAGTCAGAAGACAACTCTCAGGAGTCAGTTCTCTATTGCCACCTTGCAGCCAGTGCTCATGCTGAGCCATTTCTTCAGCCCCAGTATGAAGAGTTACAGCATTATTTTGTGGGATATTTGTACACGGTGCGATGATGTGTCATTGTGATTGGCTTAATAAGAAGCCGAATGGCCAATAGCTAGGCAGGAGAAATAGGCGGAACTTCTGGGAAAAAGAGGAACTTGAGATGAATCTAGGCACACACCGGGGAGATGCTACCGAGACATAGAGGGAGCCTCAAACATACAGATTGAAAGAAAGGCAAGCCACATGACAAAATATAGATTAATAAAAACAGGTTAAGTTATATAAGAACTAGTGGGATAAGTGTAAGCTAAGGTCAAGCTTTCAAAATTAATAATAAGTGTCTGTTGTTGTTGGAGATTGCGGTCCCAACAGGAAATAAAACTGTATTTGGTGCCCCATATTGAGCACTAAATGATGTTTTTCTTTTGGTTTAGTGGCTGTACATTAATCTACTGATATTTTAATTATTATCTATGGCCCCACAACCCCACAGTCAGTACCTCACTGACCACTCAGGCTGCCTGGGGCTTCTGGCCTCGAGACCCCAGCTCTTTTGTGCCCGCAATATTTAAGTTTAAGTTAAGTTTCTATCATTTTATTTGTCAATAAGACTTGGGAGGCAAAGGCTGGGGTGAAAGCTTGCTATCTCAGAGAAGTTGAATAGCAACTAGCTGACCTTGCTTTTTGGCTGGAGACACTGCAAGAGATGTGTCTCTTCCCTTGTCCCAGAACCAAAAGGAAGTACCACACTCAAGTTGCCCATTCTTTCCTTCTGGTGAATCTTCTCTATCCAAATTGCTGGTTTCTCGATGGCCAATTCCAGTCAGCTAGTCTCTTGCTGCATCCAAGCACAGCTGCTTGACAAAGATCCAGCAGAGCTGAGCCACATGATGGCTGTCATGCCACCTTTGGTTTTCATCTCTACCTGTTACATACTTGGGGCACTTTTAATATTTGTACAATTTGGGGATGTCGGATTAATGGAAAATTCCTTATGAATCATTTGTGCCTATCTTGAGGGAGATATCCTTATCTACTTGAAGGTCTTCCTTACCCCCGGAGGTTGTGACACATAAAGAAGCTAAAGGTCTCTTTATGAGGCTATGAGACATTCTTGAAACATCTGTCCCTCTACTTACACAGGAACAAGATATTCAAAACAAAGTAAAATTAAAAAAGGTCAACATGATTCAGTGGGCAAGAGGAATTGTACATAGTTCAGATTACAAGGCTCTTCCCACTCAGACAATTACATGGCATACAACTCTGTCCTACACAGAGACATATTGATGAGCAAAGTATAGAGTAGAAAGATGATAAAAGTATGAGATGTTAGGACCTCCCTCTCTTACAAGTTAACTCATGTGGAGCCACTACAATGTCATATGATCAAGGAACAACAGAATGCCAGGGTTAGACATATAGACAAATTCTATAAGGATATAAATGTGAACTGTAACTAGAGTTTTCCTGCCTTGCCCACAGTTAGGACAAATCTCTGTCCCTCGCCAGTCCCACAGCTGCTCAGACCCAACCAAGTAAACACAGAGACTTCTATTGGTTACAAACTGTATGGCCATGACCTGCTTCTTGCTAACTGTTCTTCTAGCTTAAATTAATGATTTCCATTAAATCTATACTTTGCCACGTGGCTCGTGGCTTACCGGCATCTTCATATGCTGCTTGTCATGGCGGAGGTTGGCTGTGTCTCCCCCCACCTTCCTGTTGTCTCAATTCTCCTCTCTGTTAGTTCCACCTATACTTCCTGCCTGGGCACTGGCCAATCAGTGTTTTATTTATTGACCAATCAGAGCATTTGACATACAGACCGTCCCACAGCAGTCAACATTGATTGTAATAACTGCAGCTTTAGCCTGAGGATTTTTCCTGGGCATTCTGACCACTAAGAATTAATAATACACTGCTTGAGACATGGCAAAATGCCCAGGGTGGTTGAAGATTTTGTTTTGGTCTAGTGTCCTTGAAGCAACCAAAGCAACCAGTTTGAGCACAGACTGTCATATACCTGTAGATTCTCAAAAATTGGGTCATGGGGTTAATGAGTAAGAATGATAATTCTGTTTATTAATGATGTCAAAATTTGAGGGGAAATGATTGGAAATAACTCTTTTCTGTCATAGTTTATTAATAATGACTAAAAGATGAGCAAAAGGAAGTGAAACACATGTCCAAAAACAAAAATGATATGATCTATGTTTTGGAACATCATGAATGTATCCCTGCTAACTAAATTCTGTATTAATAAAGAAACACTTCTACACAGAGAAACCCTGTCTCGAAAAACCGAAAAAAAAAAAGAAAAAAAAAAAAAAAGGAAAAAAAAAAAAAGAAACACTCTAGCTGCTAGTCAGATAGGCTGTAAGATTCTCCCAACCGCCATAGCCTGGCTCACTTTTTCCCCCACCGGCTCTGAAGATCCTCTGCAGGACCCACCCACCACCGGGGATAGCTCCTGGCACCCACACATCAATAGTTTTTTATATTGGGAGACTGAGGGCAAAAATGGGTACAAGGAATTAATCATCAACTTTGGTTGGCAATCAATCATGGCAAGAAAGTCATGTCAGCTAATGTTAATTGGACTGCTTTGTTCCCTGACCTTAATGAGTTCCTCACTCAACCATGTGCCTTTCTAAAACTTTATATTGTCTTCTTGGGTTTTTCACCTCAGAGCTATTTAACAAAATATTTTAGTCTAACTTTAAGTTATTTTCAAAGCTTTGTTTCAGTTATGATGCACTCCAAAACCTGTGAACATACCTCCCAACATTAAGATTAGAAGAATTTAAACTACCTGGGCTATTGGGACTTGGTTGTTTTTCTTAATCATTAGTCTAAGCCACAGTCTTTGTGGCTCCTCAATAGAAACTCATGTGTTCTAGGTCTGTGACACTTCCTTGCTTTTTTTTTTTTTTAAATCATCAAAACTCTATTTAAACTAACATTATTATAATCAACTATATAGTACAGCTTAGGAAGGAATTCATCTTTGTAATCCACAGATGAAAATGCCCAGTAGAATAGGATGTTTCCATGAGATAAACACGCTACTTTACAGGCAGTGGGATCTCTCCATGCCCATTCACTCTGTGCCAGATACCAGAGAAAGATGGCAGCAGCAAACATGTAAAGGCACAGCAGAAGCAAAAGACAGTCTGGAGTCTGTGGTCATGGGGCCTTACCTATTTGAGATTCACCCATCGAACGTCAATTGCCACCTGTGGCTCCTCTGACATGGCCACCAGCAAGACCCTGTCTCAACCAAAACAAACCAAACCTTTATGAAGGAGAAGACAAGGGACAGGAGATGAGAGGGGAGCACAAAACCAGTGAATGACTGAGAATTCATAACACATGAAAGATATCAATTTATTCATTCTGTGATCTCTATGGGTTAAAAAGTAGATTAAAACAAATAGAACTCACAGACACATGGAAAAACAATGGAGAAGTTAAAGAGAAAACTTCTGAATGTTTTATCCAAGGATGGATAAAAATGTGGTTATCATGGGGTGTGTGGGGCTTCAGGAAGAAAGTAGCCTCAGTTGAAGGGAAAACACAGATGACTTAATATGAAGCAAAAAAGCCAGATTATTTTACAAAAACAATAGGAAGAAATGGCAGCTAACTTTGATTCAAGGAGTGTGTTCATATTAGGTTTAGCATAGTGTAAGGAGCTGAAATGAAAAACGATTTGTCTCCTATGTGATCTCGCTGTTTTGTTCATGCTTTCCCTGTGGCTGGGCTGGCTAGCTTCTGTATACCCGCCCAGGTTATTAAGTACTTATTTGTGCTGGCAATAAGGGCTGTTCTACCTTTTCACTCTGGCAGAGCTCAGGAAGTTTCTTCTCGATCAACTGTTTTGTTCTGACTTTGTTTTCAAAGAGCTAGAGATGGTTTGAGATGGATTCATGCATTATTCATGTTTGCATAAAGGTACCTAGCTTGAGCTGAGGTGTTCTAGAAATCAGGGTGGACAGATTTTTCCTCTTTGTTTTTTTTTCCCGGATGTTAGTTGAGGCTTCTTCTTAGGTCTACAACTGTTGGTTTGTCTGGATATTGTTCCCAGTGTTTAGCCAATTTTGTTCAATATACATAGCTATTTTAGTATTCTAAGTGTGCAAGCATGTGTGTATTAACACCAGTAGTCCATAGTACATGCTAGCATTTGTTCTCACACTCTCTGGGATGTGTCTTCTTTCATTAAATGGATGTGATGTTCTGATGCTGTTTGGTGGTACGCTTTGTTCTAGTAGCCTCAGTCTCTTCAATAACTGTTCCATGCCCACTCTTACATGCCTGGGGTTTCTGACCGAATGTTGAGAAGAATGCTTTTTCTTTTTCCTTAAAATGTGTTGGCTGGCCTTGTTATCTTTCTCCACAAATATGAGTTAATCATTTCAGTCTAGTTTGCAAGCCCTTAAATAAGGTGAATGTCTCCTTTCTGGCAATAGGGAGAGAGGATAAAGTAGTAATAGTTACTGTTATAAGCCAGACTATAGCATTTGTTCTCTAAATACTTACGTTTATTAGTTTTTCTATTTCATAATGTAACTCATTTCAAAATTCCTCTGATGGCCATGTTTTTCTCCTGGCAAGTCAGATATTTCAGGAGCCACTGTCAGATGTGTCTGTTGTGCTTAGGGGTTTCTTAAGAAGAGTAACTCTCCATCATCTTCCTCAGTTAAAGGGAGATTTGGAGCAGTCGATAAGCCAACTGCGGAGTCAGCGCTTACAGAGAAACTTGGGAGGGAGAAGTGCTTCTGTTACCAGCCTGAGTGCAAGTGATCTCGATGGTGGCATTGTGGCAGGTAAACCCCTCGTGTGGTCTAAAAGCCTTTTTTCCTTTTTAAATTTCAAAAATATTTCTGAAGTATATACTGAATGCATTTAATCTTTGGAGAAATACACAAGATTATAGATCTTATGGATTATATACTACACATACACAACACATGCAGTTGTTGGACAGTATAGTGCATTTTTTAAAAAGGGTCTTTGATAGTCTGGGTCTGTTAGTTTCCTCAGGCTGTGTAGACATGGAGCTTTACTCAACTAAGCCTGGATTTTCATTGCTGCCCAAGCTTCAAAACTAAGGCACAACTTAAAATCTACTTTGGTATGTTTTCTTTCTAATCTTGTCCTGGCATAGTTGTTTTTAAAATTTCTGATTATCAAATATGCTGTAACACATGTGGTGGGGATGTTGTTCTGTACACTGTGAATATGTGCTGCTCTGATTGGTTGATAAATAAAATGCTGATTGGCCAGTAGCCAGGCAGGAAGTATAGGTGGGATAAGCAGACAAGGAGAATTCAGGGAAGAAGGCTGAGTCAGGAGTCACAAGCCAGACACAGAGGAAGCAAGATGACAAGGCAGAACTGAGAAAAAGGTACCAAGCCACGTGGCAAAACATAGATAAGAATCATGGGTTAATTCAAATGTAAGAGCTAGTCAGTAATAAGCCTGAGCTAATGGCTGAGCAGTTATAATTAATATAAGCCTCTGTGTGTTTGCTTGGGAGACTCGAGTGGGAGAGATTTGTCCCAACCGTTGGCCAACTGAGACACAGAGAAACTTTCAGCTACATATATGTTAAAAGCAGTTGAGTGCCAGCTAGATGCCAATAATTATGTTAAAAATTATTAAACACTTTGTTTGCTATAATTAATCTCATATTTCCCTGTAGTGCTGAGAATCATGCTTGAATCACACAGAAGCATCTACAGTGATGGGAGTGATTTAGTTGGATAAACATTGGTACTCTGCATTGTGAATACTGCTATTACTCATAATGATTATAGTTGGACACTATCATTTATTTTTATGTAGTCTGTTTTTATTGATTGTTATGCACTGTTTTGGCTTTAGATTAATTGATGTGATATTTGCAAAGTTTGATCTTATTAGTGGGATATTATATTTTAGAGAGGAATAAGGATTTTAAGTATTTAATAATTATTTTTATGTAGGAGAAAATATGTTGCTGCTTTGGACAGTGTTAAAAATTGGACCTTTGGGCATGTTCTGTTTTCAGGCTAATTTTGTTGTTCATTTTACCCACTTTAAGAGTAATGTGATCTTTGGCTGCAGCATGTTACTTGGAAAGCCTAGGCTAAAGTAACTGTTATCTTCATGTCTGCTCTTCAGTATCAAGTGAAATTTTAGATTGTTCTCATGCACTGTTTTAATGCTCCTTTCTTCTTCTTTGCATTGAAAAGAGAGTCTTCGCTTTATACCTACCTCACCGCTGAAGGACTATGAGCCCCAGGGTATTAAACGAAACAGGTCCAGAACTGGGGTTCGGTTTGTTCGGGAGACAGACGACATGGCCCAGGTACTTTGTCACATTGGGTAGTTTATCTGTCACGTCCTCTATTTGTATATAAATGACTTCATGGGAATATCTTAACTAAGAATTTGATCATCAATAATTTTGCATAGATTTTTTCTTTTTAAGCCAAATATATTTTATATTCAATGTACAGATACTTTTTTTATTCTTTAAAATTGAGAGGAGTTCCCCAGTGCAGCAGACAAGTCCCAAATGTCCCTTTTCTGTTCCTTGTCTTTAGCAGCTGTTCCCACTAGGAAGAACATTTCTTACAATTTGTGAATGTATTTTCTGTGTACCAATCTGTATCATATGTTTTGGATTTTGTTGTGGAGCATTATATTTTGAAGATTTATAAAAGAGAGTTCTCAAAAAAAGAAAGAAATAGAAATGGCTAAGAAATATTTTAAAAAGTTCAACAACCTTAGCTGTCAGGGGAAATGCAAATTAAAACTGCTTTGAGATTTTTGCCTTATCACAGTCACAATGGCTAAGATCAGTGAAGCAAATGACAACAGATTCACAATATCCAGGAAGTTGAAACAATCTAGATGCCCATCAGTGGATGAATTGATAATGAAAATGTGGTGTGTGTAATAGTAGAATATTATTCATCCATTAAAAAAATTAAAAATTGAAATTCACAGGTAAATAGTTGGAATTGAAACAATCATTCTGAGTAAGATAACCCAGACCCATAAAGACAAATATTGTATATTCTTTGTCATATATTGATACTAGCTTTGAATCTTTAGATAAGTATGTTTGGATTGGAGTATATTTCTAGAAGTCAGGAAACTAGTAAGGGGCCATGTTGTAGTGAGTGGATCTCAAGTGAGGTAGGGGGATAGAATGCAGGTGATATGAAGTAGGAGAGGAAAATAGTGAAAAAGAAAGGGTTAAATGTGGTGGGTGTTAGGAAGGGTGGGTAGAAGAGAGTGTGGGGAAGGATATCTAATAGTGAACACATTTGAAGAAGCCATGTGGAAACCCACTACTAAAGAAGCTTCCTAAAAATATACATATACATACACACATACATGTACATACACACACATACATACATACATATATACACACATACATATATACATACATGCATACATACATACATACATACATATATACATAGGGAGTTCAAGGGGAATTACCCTATAATGGGGACAATGATTCTCCCAGATTCCATAGGCGATCAAATAAAAAATGCTAAGTGCCAGGTATGGGCTACCTCTTTTTGAGTTGTTGGTCAGTGATGTCCCATAATATCTGCCATCACCCCCAACCCAACATTACAGACTAGTACCATTTCTCTTGATTATTCTTGAGTATGGTCATGGAGAGATAAAAACTTCTGTATTCACACTAGCTGAGAAATGGAGAGTTAGTACTCATCTGGAAACTTCATCTCTACTGGTTAGCTTTTATAGTACTAGGACGTTCTGTATACAGTGCCAGAGGAGAAAAACAATCAGCAATCTTACCCAGCTGTGAACCTGGCCTGGCAGAATGACCCACTGGTACAACAGTGGCACCAGGGTCTGGAGTATTCAGACACTTTCCAGTTGGGTTTAAGTCAGTTCCACAAGATGGAAATCATGTCTGGCACCATACACTGAGCCAAAAACACATGACTGCCTAAGTCATAGGGAAGAACCTAATACTATTATTCTACTAAATGGACATAGAAAGAACCTGCCCGCCCTCCCTCCATCCTCCTGCACCAGGTCATACCCTTAAACCCATAGATTAAACCATCTTTCAACCCCCCCCCCCTTTTTTTTGTAGTAGTAGTAGATGGTGATGAATACAGAGACCCACAGATGGTCAATGTGCAGATAATGAGACTGGGACCCTCAGCTCTAAATGGGACCTCTATATTATACCCTCTCCTGCCAAGGCTCAGGGATCATTATGGAAGCAGTGGTGGACAGATTGTAAGAGCCTGGCGTAGTAGACATCTGCAGCACCATAGTGTTTGGCAGACATGACTGGGCCTTTACACACACGAATTCACGGCAGCTGTGACTATATTCTGAAGAACCATGCAAGGTCAAAGTCAGTCAAAATCCCAGCACAGAATGGGGAAAGGCTCACGAATTCCACTGTTGGCTATTGATAGCTATTGGCGTTGTGTGAGCTTTCATGACTGTGATCCCTGAGAGGCTACACACGCTCCAGGAGATAGTCCTACACCCATGCCCATGCAGCACTGTGTAGAGTCAGTAGGGTTCAAAACAGAGCACGTGGAGTTGGGAGGGACAAGCGTTGGGGGCACAGGGAAGGAATTGAGGGACTGGGAGTGGATTTGACTAGATACATTATAAACGAGCATGGAACTCTCAAACAATAAAAAGAATTAAAATTGAGTGTCTCACCTAATACTGCTGTGATGAAACACCATGACCAAAGACTTGGGCAGGAAAGGATTTATTTGACCTACAGGTTCATATCACTATTCATCACTGAAGGGAGTCAGGGCAGGAACTCCAACAGGGCAGGAATCTGGAGACAGGAGCTGATGCAGAGCATGGGGATGTGCTACTTACTGGTTTGTTTCTCATGGATTTCTCAGCCTACTTTCTTTTTTTTTTTTCTTTGTCATTATTATTTAAAATGTTTCTTTTACTAGTCTTTATTCATCTGGTAATTATTTATCTTTTTTTAAGTTTTTTTTTTTTTTAATTTTATTTTATTTTACTATACAATTCAGTTCTACATATCAGCCACGGATTCCCTTGTTCTCCCCCCTCCCACTCCCTCCCCTTCCCCCCAGCTCACCCCCCATTCCCACCTCCTCCAGGGCAAAGCCTCCCCCGTGGACCGAGCTCAACCTGGTAGACTCAGTCCAGGCAGGTCTAGTCCCCTCCTCCCAGGCTGAGCCAAGCGACCCTGCATAAGCCCCAGGTTTCAAACAGCCCACTCATGCAATGAGCAAAGATACCCCCACAATAGACTGCTGGCAATGGTCAAGAGACAGCCTAAACTGACCTACTCTGGTGATGGGATGGCCAAACACCCTAATTGTCATGCTAGAAACCCCATCCAATGACTGAGGGAACTGGATGCAGAGATCCACGGTGAGGCTCCAAGTGGAGCTCCAGGAGTCCAATTGGCGAGAAAGAGGAGGGTTTGTATGAGCGAGAATTGGTGAGACCAAGGTTGGATAAAGCACAGGGACAAATAGCCAAACGAATGGAAACACATGAACTATGAACCAATGGCTGAGGGGCCCCCAACTGGATCAGGCCCTCTGAATGGGTGAGATAGTTGATTGGCTTGATCTGTTTGGGAGGCATCCAGGCAATGGGACTGGGTCCTCAGTCTACTTTCTTATAGAAACTGGGTCACCAGCCTAGGTTTGGCACCACCCATATGGGCTGCACGCCCCCCCCCCCCAATCAATCACTAAGTAAGAAAATGCCTTAGAGCCAGATATATGGAGGATTTTTTCAATTGAGGTTTGCTCCTTTCAGATAGCTTGAGTTTCTGTCAAGTTGACATAAAACTAGCCATAAAAAAACAGTTGAATTTAGTTGGATGTATTTTATTTTATTTTCTTTCATTTCCTGTGCAGGTGCTAAGTTAGCTTGCTAGGTTGAAACAGAGATGAGCAAACGTGTCAGGTAAACACATTAAAGGTAGCCTCTGGGGAGCCAAAATGTGTTGGTGTTGCTTTGAGGAAAGAAAACCCAGCACTTCTCTTGGGTTAATTTGACCAAAAGTAAGCCCATGTTTGAATCCTCCATTTCTCTACCTGTGTCTTCTGTCTGTCTGTAGTTTGTGATTTCTGGCCTGTCTGTAGTCTGTCTGTTCTATGTAACTGATGTGTACCCGTCACCTGCCCGTCCCTAACCAAGGGCTTTCCTCTGTATTTAGTGAACAGAACGGGAAAATTTATGTAGGAATGGGGGATACTTTACAGAACTCATTAACAGAGTTTTACAAGGGATTAAGTCACTGATTCAAATTGATCCCAACTGATCCCAAAGAAGTCAGTTCTGCAAAGTGCCATTACCAAGCAGTATGCTGTTTCCAGCATTTATGGTGGGTGTTTGTTGTGTAAGGTTGCTTTTGATCTGTTTTCTCTTTTCAACAAATGATTAACATACCTTCATACACAGCTACATACACACAGTGCATTGCTCTCTGGGTCAGGGATATGGAAGAATACATATGAAAGCTATAGATTACACGAGAAGTCCAAAGTAAGAAAGGTTGATTTTTATATTGTTCTCTCCAAGGCTGACTACATAGCAGGTGTGCTGGTTGGCTTTTGGGAAAAAGGGATCCTAATTGAGAAAATGCCTCCGTAAGATTGGCCTATAGGCAAGTTTGTATTAACAGTTGATGTGGGAGAGCCCCACTCACTGTGGGCAGTGCCATCCCTGGGCAGGTGGTCCCAGAGGGTATAAGAAAGTAGGCTGAACAAGTCACGAGGAGCAAGCCAGTGGGCAGCATCCTTCATGACCTCTGAATTGGCTGCAGTCATGGCCTGATTTCCTTTGGACAATGGACCAAAAGGTGAAATAAGCTCTCCCTTTTGGTCATGGCAATAGAAACCCTAATTAAAACAGAAAGCTATCAGGTTTAGTCTTAAGTGTCCTCACGGTGTGTTATTAAATCAGCTGTGAGGCCTAGCAAATATTCCAGTCTTTTTGAATGTGAGAGATATTTCCATAAAAGAATGTCACCACATTTGTATGGTTGATTACATTTTTTTTTCTAATATTGGTATTGTTCTGATTGTTGAATAATTGATGGAACTACTTTATGTTAAGTAAGAAAGTTGAAAATGTATTCCCCAAAGAGTTTTGAAGTATTCTAATAGTTTCTATGAATATATTTCTTCCTCTGCTTCTTCTTTTTCTTTCTTTATTATATATATAGTGTTCATCCTGCATATGTTCCTAAAGGCTAGAAGAGGGTACCAGATCTCATTACAGATGGTTGTGAGCCACTGTGTGGTTACTGGGAATTGAACTCAGGACCTCTGGAAGAGCAGCCAGTGCTCTTAACCTCTGAGCCATCTCTCCACCCCCTTCCTCTGCTTCTTAAAGGCTTCTTCTTTTCTTGGTTTTCTTTTTGCAGAGATGAATTTTTCACTTGTTTTCTTAGGTAGCTGAATTAATTAGAAAAGGGTGGGAACAATGTCTCATTTTGGCATCTTTGTTTTGACAGTTTCAGGAGTAGGTGCTCAAAGGCTGTTTCAGGAAATTCACCTGTGGCTGTTGCTTTCTTCAGCATAATGTAAAACAGACTCAGATGCATTAGGAAACACCTTGTAGGAATCTTCCCATGACTGTATTATTTTTTAAGTATAACTTGCTAATAGACTGTAGGATTGAACCATACAGAGGATTCTTTTGACATTACTCATTCGTTTTTCATTTTCTGCACTTCATTTCTGTTTTTTGGGCCAGTGCTTATACTTAGAATCAGTAATGAGCAAAACCCTCTCCTTTTCATTGAGTTTATATTCCGGATGGGGTAGGTAGCTAGGTATTCATCTAGTTCACATTAGTGCACTATAATGTGAACTAAGAAGCATGCTGTCATGGAAAGAAGTACAAGTCATGGGGTGAGGGTGCAGTAGACATGTGACCTACCTAAAGGCTGATTGAATGAACATCTGGAAATGGATGGAGTCATCTGAGAGGGGACAGTTAGCTTGGCAAGAGCAAGACAGCACCTAGGGGTGCTGTAAGGCAGTCCACGGGCTGAAAGATGTACAAGGGCTGATGGTCAGTAGTCAGTGTGGACACATGAACTAGGATAGTGTTATGTTCAGGTGGGAACTGATGGCTATTCGCGTTAGGATATGTGGAGTTGGAGAGAAAGAAGTGATTTTAAAGCTATGAAATGGATAAAATTGATAGGGTTTGAAGGTTAGATTAACTGCATGGGGAAGGCAGGAATCCTCAGAATCTGTTTTAAAGATTGGGATTTGTGGCTTCCTGATGGCAAAGCTAAGTGGATTCTGTTGTTCATCTGTAATCCCTTTTTTCTCCAGATGACCTTTGGCTCTTCTTAACTGTGCGTTTTTTAGGCCCCAGGAAAGGCTGTGCTATGTTTACATGGTTTTCTCCCATGGTAGGTTGTCATATGCTTATTTCCCAGTAGGTGGCCAGCACTGATTAGTTGTTCAGTGAGCATTGTTGAAGTGGGTATTTCTTGTTTTGGTAAATCTTTTTAATTTAAAATGATTTTTATTATAAACTATATGACACATATACATACAAAGTATATATATTTATGGCTAATGCACAATAGATTGAATGCCATGTATTCACCACCTAGGACAAGACATAGACTGTTTTACACTCCTAAGTAGGCTCCTCCTTTCAGGAATGGTATACCCAGGCCTGACTTTAGACACACTAAAAAAAAAGAAAAAAAGAAAAAAAAGAAAAAATTAAAAAAATTTATGTGTGTGTGTGGTTTTTGTTTACATGTATGTCTGTGCAACACGTGTACTTGGTACCCACAGAGGTCAAAAGAAGATATCTGATCTTCTGGAACTGGAATTACAGATGGTTGTGAGTCATTATATGGTTGTTTGAAATACAACCTGTTTCCTGTGGAGGAGCAGCCAATGCTCTCAGCTGCTGAGGCATCTCTCCTGCCCTATCCCGACTTACATTCATTATTTCTGTTTTTTAAAAAAAACCTTGGCTATGTTTTATTGCTTGTTGCCTGCCTGTAAACTACATAAATTGAATGCTATCATACATCATTATGTTTTGCCATCTAGCCTTGCTGATGTGCAGTGGTTTTGATGACGTGTGCACTGCTGTATGATCCTCTCAAATAATGCATATGAAATATTATGTTCTGCTCTGTGGGGTTGAATTTTGCATTCTTGTTAGGAGTACTGTGGCTCCATGCTTTCTTGTACATGGTTGCTCATGTGTTGGCAATGGTGTCTTGGCATGTGATACTGACCAGGCATGTGGGCCGATGTGGTAAAGAGTTCTTGTACCACAGCATGTTCATTTGCTTTTGGTTGGTTCTGCACTCCAGTGGCATGGTTGACAGCGATGACAGAACGTGCAGTTCAGAAATACTTGTCATCTTCAGGTCACACAAAGGGGGTGAAATTGCTGTGCTGGGGAGAGTTTGGCCACTGTTAGGCTTCTCTGTGAAAGACTTGTGTCTTAATGACAAGTATCTATTGATTATTAATGACGATACAGAATTTGGTTCTTTTTGTGGAAGAGAGCTCTTCCTTTGGTCGATTCATTCATCCATCCATCCATCCATCCATCCATCCATCCATCCATCCACTTATTTGTTTGTTTGTTTGTTTATTTATTTATTTGTGGAAAAGCTAGCAGAACCCTAAGTGGCTAAATTTGCTTTGCTTTCATAGCTGCATGCATTTCATCAGTCCCTCCGAGACCTCAGCAGTGAACAAGTTCGGCTTGGAGATGATTTCAACAAGGAGATTTCCAGAAGAAGCCGGTAAAATGGCGACAGGGTTTTCCTGGGAGGCGTGGATTATCAAAAGAATAAATTCATTTCCTCAATGACTTGTTTACATAGATTAAGAAAATGATGTTGTGCTTTTATATGAGTATGTTAAGATTTATTTTTTTTATGTGTTTATATGCACGTGTGAATGTGTGTTCCTGTATGTGCAGATGCATGTGCATGTGTGTGCAAATGGAGGCTGTAGCTCAAACTTGAGTATTCTTAGGAGCCATTGGCCTTAATTTTTATTTATTTGTATGCGTATATGCACTATGTATGTGGACATGTGTGTGTGAGTGTCTGGAGGCCAGTTGAGGTGTCTGATCTTCTGGAGCTAGAGTTACAGGCAGTTGTTAGTTGCCTGGTCTTTTGAAAGAGCAGCAAATGCTGTTAACCACTGGACTATCTCTTCATCCCTGTACCATATTTTTTTTTGAGATAGGGTCTCTCGCCGAGGCAGGTGCTCATTGATTAGGATATCTGGCTAGCAATTTCTATGGGTTTTCCTATCGTTACCTACCAAGTGCTTGGATAACAAGCACATCACCACACCCAGCTTTTTACATGGGTGCTTGAGAGTGAACGCAGGTCCTCATGGTTGTGTGACAAACATCTTAGCAACTGAGCTATGTCCTCAGTCTCTAGTATTTATTAACAACACAACTCAAAGCCTTTTAAATTTATATAGCTTATCATGACTCATTGATTTTTTGCTGCAGTAAGTTCAAACTCTAGCTGTCAAATATATCAAGTATAGTCTGTACAAGTTGCCTGCTTTTAGAAGAGGAAGACAGGAAAGTTAGGAGTAAATTCTAGATTTCTAAAAACACCTTTACTTAATAGAATGTTGATATCATGGTGAGATACATTATGAGAGACATTAGTAAAGAAGATGCACTTAGATATTTCAGGGAGAGAGAGGAGACAGACAGACAGACGTAGAGGTAGAGACTGGCCAGTTTGTTTACTGACTCTTAGCAGTTCAGGGAGAAAAATAGAACATGCATCTTGTCTGTGTGTAGACCCAAGCCATTTAGAATCTGATACCTTAGTTTAGTTGACTTGCGACCTTTGAAAGCCTGTGGTTAAAGAGCCTGCAGTTAAACTGCAAACTTTGGCTGGTTTTGGAGTGTTCCCAAAAGCCGTCACAAAATATAAAATAATATACAAATTCCTCACTCTTTCATTTTCTTCATCAACGGTAACAAGTGCTTTACTTGGAAGGTCATTTTTTTGTTTATTAAAGAAGTTTTTATATTTTCTCGAGAGTTAGCTTCTAGGGCTGTTGAGAAGGCACATTGCATAAAGATGACCTGAGTTCTGTCCCCAGGATCTACATGGTGAAAGGAGTGAACCAACTTCCACAAGTTGTCCTCTGACGTCCACATGCATGTGTTTCCACCCCTAATAGATAAAGAAGAAGTAAAGTCTCTATACATCAAAGGTTAGGGAGGGAGAAAAGTCAGGTGAAATTCCAGTTCTATGTTTATTTGCATATTCTGCCTAAATTCTGTTATGTACGAGTTCAGTGAGTACGGCTGTCAGCTGTATCAAGTATAGTCTGGACATCTTTCCTGATTTTGGAAGAGGAGGGCAGGAAAGTTCGGGCTAGAAACAAGACTCTGCCGTCATTAGTGTTATTAGTACTGCCGGTAATAAGAAACACTCGTGGTGTTTACCCTAAGCTGTCAGTTTTTTTTTTTTTTTTTTTTTTTTTTTTTTTTTTTTTTTTTGCAACAGCTATGGCATAGTCATTATTTTCTCCATTTAATGGAGGAGAAAATGGGCATAGTGAGATAAAGTCAGTTTGTTGGCTGGAGATGGAAAATGAGAAATGCAGGGTCAGACTTGAAATCTGGGCAGTAAGGTCCCAGAGCCTCTGTCCTTTACCACACACATACGCTGAGGTTCAAGATCGTTTTCACATGTAGCTGATGTGGAAGATCATTTTCACATGTAGCTGATGTGGATGGAGCTACCGAATTGTGAGCTTAATTACTGGGAAGACAGAGAACTTAATGCTTGTATTTCTTTTGACAAGGTGATAAAATTGACAGAAAGCATTGCTTTAGTCTGGAATGATTTTTCTGTGTGGACTTTCTCCATTTGGAGCAAGTGTCAATGAAGGGCTGGGTGCATGACTTTGGGGACTGTTGTCTTGGGGGGAGGTCCTGGAGCAGATGTACAGATGGGCTGGGGCACTGGTTATGTGGTCCCCAGTAAACGCAGCGCTGTCCTGCGGCTCTTCTGACCTAGAAACTGCACCATTTGGGAAGTGCCTGTCATTTGGAGGCACAGGTGAGGCAGGGAAACTTTCTCTACTCTCGAGTAGAAATCAGATTTATTTATTTCTATTTAAATTTGTGAAATGAGATGACATTGAATTGTAGAGGAGTAAAATTGAACACTTTGCCTGTACCAGTAATTGTATTCCTGTTTCTAAATATACTGGATATGTTTCTAAACATATTGGATAGGAAATAATTTGATTCAGAAGTGTTGGTATTCCCATTTAATTACTTATTTATTTTTTTCTTTTTCTTTTTTGAGACAGGGTCTTACTGTGTAGCTCTGTAGATCAGGCTGGTCTTGAACTCACAGAGACCCACCTGCCTCTGCCTCTCAAGTGCTGGAGTTAAAGGCATGCACCATCACATCTGGCTTAATTTTTTTGTTTTTTGACTTTTCAAAACTATATTGACTTATGAAAACACAGAGAAATGAGCTTTTAAACTGGGTGCCCTCTGGAGAACAGATTTGAAAAGTGTGAAATAGAAGTCTGTTGCTTTAGTGTGTCAGAACTGGTGATGGCTTGTCCAGAGAGAAGTCAGGAGAGTGAGGACAGGGGTCTGTTTCAGAACGCATTATTGGAGGCCGGAGAGTGAGGATTTGGTAACAGAGTGTAGATGAAGGATGTATAACAAGGGTAACTCACAGATTTCTACTTGAGAAGCTAGTAAACAACAATTCTCCCTTATGATTCCAGAAAGGTTGGTTGAGGGAGCTGAGGGTAGAAATCAAGAGGTTTCCTTGGTTTGTTAGGTTTGATATTCCTGTGAGACATCCAAGAAGAAATGTAAAATAGCCAGTCCTTAGGTAACGGATGCCATAAAGAGAAAAACTACAGAGAAGCATCAGGGGCAGAGCTGAGTACCAGAGAGGTCAGATATTTAGGAGTCTTGTCTATGATGTGGACCTGGCTTAAAGGTCAGATGATGAGAACTGGGAAACCCAGGAGAGAATGGGAATCTCCAAATCAAGAGGGAGGTAAAAAGAACATACTTTTTCAGAGATTCACAGCTCAGAAAACTTAGCTTTTAGGATACTTCTCTCTGAGAAATTATCTAAATATAAATTATATAAATATAGTAATAACTACGAGAAAGATACAAATTAGAAGAAGTAGTGGATATTGTGAAATACAGCAGTCAAAAGGTGTCTTCTGAGATTACCAGGCTATTACAGCAGTGTTGGGTGTGCTGGGTTAATATTACAGAGACAGTTGCTTTCCTTTAGACCAGCCACAGGTAATTATAAAGTTAAAACATGAAGCAAAAGAAGAAATAGTAAAGCTATCCTGATAACCCAGTGTTAATAACCCCCAAATGACAGCCACAGACCAAGCCTGCAGTTCAGTCAAGTAAGAGTAAGAAAGTAAGTGGCCTTTGAGAAGAATGTTGCCAAGGGGAAGGGACTAGATTATGTGCATATGGATAGTTCATTCAGGAAGGGGGATATCAGTGGACATGGTGAATACCACCAAATGATGTAGAATTAGGGGGAAATAAAAGCCCCAGAGTGACATCCAAGCATGAGACTGATTGAAATATGTGTGATAGAAGGCAAGTACAAGAGCCTCCGTCTGTAAGTGTGAAGGTCACCCTGTGTAACACATACCTGTGTGTGAAATCACACAGGTAACCGGTAGCAATCAATATTCCCAGTATTGCCGAGGAGTCAGTGAGCTAGATACTTCACAACAAGGAGTCAGTGGATAGTCTTTGAAAATGATGGTGGCAACAAGTGAAAGGGTTATGAATGGAGAAGGTGTTGGGGTGCGAGTCGGGAGTGCATCCAAAGGGAGTAGAGATGGGAGGAAGGCCTTTCCTTGCAAGTCTTTTGGAGTACAAGAGTGCTGCTGTCACTAATTTGATGCACTAACAAGGATGGAGTTTGTGTATCTCAAACAGGTTATAACATCGAGTTTTATTTTCCCTTTGTTTTTCTAGAACTCGTTTTTTTGTTTCTTCCTAATTTGAGACTGAGGGCTTACAGTGATGATGCTCAAAGTTGGGGCCCCAGGTTCACAGCTTTAGCATTTTGTAGGAATTTGCAGAAATGCACAGTCTTGGGCCCTATCCCTGAGTTGCTAATTCTGATATTTCGTGGGTAGGGCCTCTTTGAAATGTTTTAACGCACACTCGAGGAGACTTCAGTTGAGAATTATAGAATAACAATTACTGTGAGGGGTGGGAGTTTAGCTCAGTAGTAAAGCACTTGCCTAGGAAGTACTTTGGTTTGCTTTGGTTCCCAGCTCAAAACAATGCTGACATCAACAAAAACCACTATACCTTTAAACAATTTGGTTAGCTTGAAACCTATTTCTTTCTTTGCTTAGGTCGGATGCTGAAACAAAAAGGGTTTTGGAAGAATTGACTGAGAAGCTTAATGAAGCCCAGAAACAAGATGTGGTGAGGAGTCCTTCTTTATAAAGTTTTGTTTCATAAGCTGTGAGTGGTGGTGCATACTTGCAGTTCCAGCCCTTTGCAGGCTGAGGCAGAGGATGCCAAGTTTGAAGCCAGCTTGGGTAATGTAGATGGTTCTAGACTAGTCTGAATGCGTAGCAAGACACTGTTGCCCCCCTCAGAAGAATATCCAAAAAACGAAACCAAACTCCCAAACCAAAGTTTTCTTCCACTTGTAGATAAATGGAAGAGTGGGGGCCAGTGGTCAGACTAATGATACTGAGCGGAGTAACTTTTTGGGTACAATATGCCATTTTGTCAATGGATGTTCTTGTACCAATATGAAATGTTCGTGCATTTAATGAATTTAAGTTTGAAATCTCATAATAGTAGTAGATAACAGGTATAACTAATTTCTAAATTTTGAAATTGTAGAATTTTTAAAGAATATTTGAAAGCTATTTTACAGTTATGATCAGTGGTTCTCTAAGTTTTTATTAAGTATTTGAGAGGTGCACCTGCTTCGTTTGGAGGCTGTGGAGCATTCACTGTTAGGTGTGTTCAGACTATCTCCATGACTCTATAGTCATGGGGGCTGTGGGTCATCATTGTTTGCTCTGATAATTAGTCATCCTTGTCCATGTGACTAGATTTAGAAGCTCCTGAAGATGGGTGAGGCACACACTGGTGAGCTTGTGAGGGCTGTTCTGGTTATCTGCAGGGAGATATCTTCCCTGAATGTGTGAGAGAGCACATAATAGGCTTGGGTCTAGACAAAATGTAAGGGGAGAAAGGAGAAAGCCAGCTAAGTTCTAGCAAACGTGAAAATCCCTCTGCTTGAAACTGGTCTGTCAGGTCTTTTGTAACAGTGACAAGAAATGTAATGAATATACTATTTATTGAATATAGTGATGTTTAAAAGTTTCCTAATGACCAAGTTTTATTGTTCATGTATTTATTTTTATCAAATCTTTATCCTTGAGTCTAGTCCAGCCTGGACTATATATTGAGACTCAGCTTCAAAACATTACACTGTAAACAAATAATATTTTTACCCTCATTCGGGTTTTCTTTTTTCTTTCTTTCTTTCTTTTTTTTTTTTGAGAAAAATATTAATAGAAAGTTTCACTAAAGTGTTAACAAACTTGTCACAACTCCAGGAGCAGTGTTTCCACTTCCCACATGTTGTTTTTCCAAGATAAGTCAAGAGAATTTTTTCTCCTAAATATTTTATTCAAATTTAACTTCCTAGTTTAAGCAGACTATATTTCTTCAGTGAATTGTGTTATAGTTCTCCACAGGCAGGTGGAGTACATCCTGGAGTTTGAATGTTTGAATGTGGCTGCATGTGTCAAGAGATGGATGTCCTCTGTCTTCAAAGAGATGACCCAGTGGCTGCTGTAGAGAAATGTGCCCATTTCAGAAACAGGAAAACTTTGCTTTATCGCCCACCTTTCCTCTGTGCTATTTATGTCTTTGGGAAGAGCCATAGGAAAATGAAGACTTAATATTTATCTTCTGGGGAAGTCAACAGACTCTTTCCCATTAAGACTGGGGAGTGGGTAGGTGACCAGGGTGGGGGATGCTTACATTGTCACATGAAGTCCTAGATGTTTTTCCCAGGTGTATCAGTTTCACCATCAGTTTAAATTTTATCAATTTGAAATGTTTAAAACATCAAGTATTTCAATCATCTGCCATTTCTGGGGCTGGCGAGATAGCTCAGTGGGTATACACCCTTGCCATGAAAGCTTGAGTTCCATCCCCAGAACCTTCTGAGACAGAGAGAACCTCCTCTGGAAGGTTGTCTTCTGACATCCACAGGTGGACTGGGGCGTGTTCATGGACACACACACTCACACACACATACACATCAATAATAATAATAATAATATAATAACAATAATAAGAAATGATACTCTATTAAAAGAGGTCTCTTTCTGGTTTGAACATACTGACTTTCTAGTTAACTGAATAGTTACGTGACAAGAAAGTCTAAGACGTTGTCTGATTGACACATTAGCTAAGTGTGAGCTGAGTGTAGACATTTATAATGTGACTTTATAGCTTTCTTCAACTTACAAAATGATGATTCAGTTCTTATGAATTCTAGAATAGAGCCTGTCACTTTGCCATGCTCTTTAAGGTTTTTAAAAATCGTAGTTAAAATGAACATCTAGAAAGCTCCATGTGCCATTGTGTGTTTTGATGAGTTCCCACAGCTAAACATCCTTCTTCTACCACCCAGATCTGAACATGGCACATTCGCAGCATCCTTAGAGAGCTCCTTATTGTCCGTCCCCGCCCCCATCCCTTAGCTCTTTCTAGGGTCCCTGCTGTTTGGACTTTCCATGCTGTAAGTTAACATTTCCGTTTATGCACTCTTACCTAAGCGGAATATTCAGGGCATGCTTTATTGTGTCGGACTCTTTTTGCTGTTTGTTGTGATTGTGCTGGTTATGGGCGTTGTTTCAGGGTCTTGCCCTGTGTACTTGTTTCATTACTGCATGGATATATTGTAATTTATTTTAACATCCCATGATAAACACAAGTTATTTCAGAATCTGGGCTCTTATGAGTCAATTCAGCTTTCACAGCTATTGTTACTTTCTTGTGCATGTACATGCATCTCTGATGGTACATACATGACACGGAGTGCATTCATTAGGTGCTTTCAAGTTTAGTAGACACTAGCACAGTACATTGAGCTCTGAGCTGGATGCACTGACTCACCGCCATGGACAGTCTGGGAATTTGTGGAGCTCTTTGTACTTCCTGGCACTTGCAGCTCTGCCATCTTTTAACTAGTATGACAGGAGTCATGTTGTCCACCATGGGTGGCTTTTGCATTTTCATGATTACTAATTATCTTCTTTTTGAATGTTCGTGGGCTGTTGGAAATTTTTGTTTATAAAATAACAGATTGTATTTTTTGCTCAATTGTCTATTGAGTTAAGCTTGTCTTTGTTATTTTATGGGTCTCTTACTGAACCCAGAGTTCACTATTTTTTGGTTGTGTTGGCAGCCATCAAGTTCCAGCTGACTTCTTGTCTTTTGTTTTTTTCTTTTAACTTTTATTGATTCTTTGTGGATTTCACATCATGCATTCTGATCTCACTTATCTCCCCGTCTTGCTCACATCTGCCCTCTGCCCTTGCAACCCCTCTGGGGAAAAAAAAAATTAAAGGCAAAACCAAAAAGTAAACCAAGAAACAAACAAAATAAAAAAAGAGAAGAATCTTATGATAGCTGTCGTGTGGTCCATTGAGTCACACTATTTCTCTTTAGTCCATTCATCTTTACTTGCAAGTGCTCATTGGTCTGGCGTGAAGCCTGTGGGTTCTGCTACTCCATTGGTAACAGGCTCTCACTGGGGCTCCTCTTGGACATCCTGTTATTGTCCTGTGTCCTGGGGATCCTGCAGTTTTGGATCTGTAGGTTTATCCCCTTCACACGCTCCAGCAGTTCATAGATGAGGTAGGTTCTGGGGTGGCCAACTCATAGCCCTGGTTCTGGGCCTGGGTCATAGCTGGGTTGGTCAGCCTGCCAGCTTTCCCTCATCATCATTACCAAGGCGAGCTCACCAGCATTGCCTAGGCTAGCTCACCGAATGCAGCCTGCAGCAAGGAGCAGAGCCAGATCTGGGTCACCCATGGTGTTGTGAGTGTGGGTGTCCTCTTGTCTTTTTCCCCCAGGACCACAGCTGGCTTTTTGTGTGGGTTTTGAAGAATTAGAACTCAGGTCCTCATGCTTGATTATTTAGTAAGTGCTCTTTCCCACTAACCTGTTTCCCCCGTTCCTACCATCAGGCTGTACTCCACATTCAGACATCTCCAGTATTCTGCTGAGGTTCTCATACCTGAGTGAACCATGGTTATGTCCACTTACATCATCACACTCTTCTTTCTGAAATTGTTGCATAGTTGTTGATTTGAATTTGGAATTTGTTAATATTACCTTTGGTAGTGCACACTACTTTTCTTAAGTTTTACCATTTTCCATGGTGAGATACTAAAAGTGAGCAGTTATCATTTCATTTGAATTATATCCAAAAAGCAGTAAAATCGCCAAATACCATCCTCCATATATTCTAGGGTTTTATTGTATACACAAAGTGTTGTAAGGGTCCAGTAAGAAACAACAGTGAGTTGAGGTCCCTAGAAGTAAGTCCGAATTCACTTGTATCATCATTGCCACACATCAGGGAATTACTCCAGATCAGATATAGCTGTTGTTTCATACATGTATATATACATATAAAACAAAACCAGTTGCCCAGCCATCCAGTGCCCCCCTCCATTAAGGCGGAGCCTTTGTATTAAACCAGAAAATTTGAGATGTCTGATTGTGTACTGTGTTGGATTACACACCTGCCAGTTCTTGTCAAGATCTATTACAGTTGTATGTTTCTGCACTGTCTGTTAAGTAAGGTTTTCTGGCAAGCCAGGCTTGAACAAGGGCTTCTTCAACCTCACTTGGTATGCAGTCCTGATTATAACCAGCAATCTTAATCAAAGCTTAAAACAATGTTGTTCAATTTTAGCAGGCCTTTTGAAGGCCACATGATGTTTGTACAAAGCTTAATTTAGGTTTTGTGACTCACTTATTCCAGTCGATGTCAACATTTACAGTTTGGGACTGGCTGACATATTGGGCTGTATCTGTGAATTCAGGAGAGCATGCTGTCAGAGAAGCTGCAGCTTTGTTGTGAGAGCGTTACACTTCACGGAAGTGCAGCTGTTCTCCCCACCAGAGTTAAGTTTAAATAGAATTATGGGTCACTGTGGGGAATTTAAATATTGAATACATATAGGAGAGAAGATAAACGGCCTCCGTCTCCACCACTTTCACTTTCTGTTGGGGCTTGCTGTTAATCACATTTATTGTACTTTATTCCGAGGCTGCAATTGTTTATCATACATTTTTCTCAGTAAATAAAATATATCATGGAAGTTTATGAAACATATTTTTCTTCGAGAGACAAAAAGTATTGGTTATTGCCACACATGCCAAAATATGACTTGTTCATTCTTTGTGAATCATAGGGGTTTTTTGTTGTTGTTTGATTCAAACTGTGCATTGGAAAGGAATAGTTATTATTGATAGCATGAATTATGGTGACTGCTTTCTGTTAATACTTAATTGTGATAATCTAAGTTGCATAGCCCTCATAGGGGAAATTTCAGTTCATTAGTTGTCAAATGTGATTGGAGTATATATTTTGATTATTTATGGAGAAAATTTCAATTTACTTTAGTTTTCTATAGTCGGGTTCCTATTAAAACCAAATGTAAACATAGATCCAGCTCTTTGTGACCGCAGTGGTTGTTAGTGGAATTCTAAGATGTAGTCTCTACTGCATGTAGTCTAACATGGGTGTTGCGTAGATCCCAACAACAGGACAAAGAACAAATATTTATTCAAATGGTGGTCCTGTTTCACTCTACTGCAGTGACGAACACCATGACCAAAGGCGATTTAGGGAAAGGAAGGATTTATTTGCCTTATACTTCATCACTGCGGGAAGCCAGAGCAGGAACTGGAACAGACTCTTGAAGCCAAAACCTTGAAGGGATGCTACTCATAGCTCATTCCAGGTTCAACTTAGCTGTTTTATGCAGCTCAGGACCATCTGCCCAGGGAATGGTGCTGCTCAGAGTGGGCTGGGCCCTCTTGCATCAATTAATAACCAATACAATCCCCCCACAGGCCAATCTGATCTAGAAAATTCCTCAATAGAGGCTTTCCTCTCAGATGACATGAGGTTGTGTCAAGTTGACCATTCAAACCTTTCCCTTCTCTTTTAGACTTCCGAGGCTCATGCTGGCCTCAAACTCCCTATGTAGCCCAGGGTTGTCCTTGAACTCATAACTCCCCTATCTTTATTTCTCAAGCACTGGAGTTATAGTCATGCACCGCCAAACCCTGCTTTATATGCCTTTTAAATGACAGGTTTACTGAGCTATGATTTATCATCAAATTAATCTACTCTAATGTGTAATTTAGTGCTTTGTAGTAAATTTATCTAGTTGTGCGACTGTCCCACAGTTCAATTTAGAGCATTACTATCACCCCAGCAAGGTCCCCCATTCTCCTAAAAAGATTGTGTGTGTGTGTGTGTGTGTGTGTGTGTGTGTGTGTGTGTGTAAGGCTGTAGCTCTCAACCTCCCTAATGTTGCGATGACCCTGAGACATAAAACTGTTTTCGTTGCTATTTCATAACTGTAATCTTGCTACTGTTATGAATTTTCATGTAAATACCTGTGTTTTCTGATGGTCTTAGGTAAACCCTGTGAAAGGTCATTTGACCCCCCCCAAGGGGTAATGACCCACAGGTTGAGAAACACTGATGTGGGCAGTCAGGACAACTTCAGGTGTTGATCATTTCCTTCTGCTTTGAGGCAGGGTCTCTTGTTTAGTGCTGTGTCTGTCAGGTTAGCTGGCCCATGAGCTTCTGGGGAGCCTCCTGTCTCCAGCTCATCCTGCTGGAGGAGATCTAGGATTGCACGTGCCTGGTCCTCTGCTGCTTCAAGCTCAGGTTCTCATGGTTGTGTGGCAAGCACCTTAACTACTGGGCCGTCTCTCTAGCCCCATGAGCAGACCGTTCTTGACTTTTTGTGAAACACAGAACTAGTAGCAAAATGTTTTAAATAATAGGGCTTTATTTATTCTTTTAAGTGAATAGGAATGTCTTCTGTACCCCAGACATACACATTGCCAGTGCAAATTATTTTGTGGAGATATATACTGACATATATAAAATCTGTTTTAGTTTGCACAGAATTTTACTAAGGAAGATCTTGTGTCAGAGAGAAGAATTCTTTCATGTTTGTTTTTGAGTCCTAATTAAATATTTGCCTTTCGTGTTAGATCTTTTCAATTTTTTATTTTTAGTAAAACACAGTTGAAAACCTTGGCAAGCTCATGCAAAGCACTTTGGATGATGTACTGCGCACTCATAACAGGGTCTTCCAGATTGTCACATTCATGGATAAAAAAGAAAAAAGAACGAAAGTGATAGGACAGTTGAATTGGGTAATAAAGACAATTGTTGGCATGCTGGTATTTCACTTTGCATCACCAGAGGGCGCTCTTTTCTTAGTGTGTTTGTATACTGAGCAATTACTGTGGTGGTGTTTGAAAATTTTGAGCCCTCTTGGTGGGTTCTAGGAGTCCTGTTGGTGGGATCTAGGTCTGGGTATTTTGAATACTGATGATTGCGTTGTTTTGTAACTTTCGATTAACTTTTTCGCCAGGTGTCCTAAATGGTGTCTTTAGAAAGGGTTCTATCAAGAAGTCAATGCTTTAGGCCCAGTGTGTCTGGGACATCGTGTATTCTCAGTTTCATTTCCTGCTCGCTCCCTAACGCCACTGTTTCTCTGTTCATATTGAGGTTTCAGATCGAGTGGAGCAGCGGCTTCAGGAAATAGAGAGAGAGATGCGCACGGAAAGAGAGCTGGTGGAAAGACGACAGGATCAGCTGGGACTCATGTCCTTGAAGCTTCAGGAGGTTTGGGTGAAGTACTTTCTGGGATTTGGATTGATAATTAGCCATTGCTAAAATGGTTATAATTCTGGGTTGGGATGTGGCTCAACTGGCAGAACACCACCTAAGCTGGGTGTGGCGTTGTTGCCCACCTGAAATCCCCACGCTTGGGAGGTGGGGTCAGGAGAATAAGAAGCAGTCACAGTTCCTTAGGATGCAGACAGCATTGCATGGAATTCATCCTATGAGAGAAGTAAAACATCCAGCTACAGTTCAGAGTGTAGAATGAGCCATGCCATAGTTTGTGTGCCCTTGGCAAGTTTCTTTGTTTTTGTTTTTAAACACCTTTCGATTCCAGTTTCTTCCATAGAAAATGGGAATAATAATCTGTACCTGATCGCATGGATGGGAGGATAAATGAGTTAATGCTGACGAAGCATTTCACATTGTCCAGGATGAGCTCAAGAGTCTGAACTCAAAGTTTAATTACGCTGACTTTTGCCAGTAGGGACCAGACACCGGGAAGCACCACACTATGGCTCATTTTGTAAATAAAGTTTTATTGGGTCCCAACCATTCCTGCCCATTCAAATACCATCCTTGGATGCTTGTGTGACACCGTGGCAGATTTGAGTTGTTGTGACAGAAAATTCCTGCTCACGGTATTGGCTCTCTGGACTTTACAGAGGTTTGCCCGTCTGTTAACTAGTTTGTCGTCAAACCAGTTCAGAAGCAGAAGTTATTCTTTACATTTTTATTTTGAAATTTTAGATTTGTAATGTTAAAAATCCGAACAAAGAATTTTTGTGTAATTAGGTCTCCTCGATATTCATGTTTTACCAGTCTGACTTTATCATCTTTTCTAATGTAGCCAACGTGTACAGTGTTTTCTTTTGAAACGGTTTTGAGAAGGCAGCAGGTGTAATGCTGTCTCAGGGCCTCTGTTGCTGTGATGAAACACCATGACCGTAAGCCACTTGGGGAGAAAAGGGCCTATTTCAGCTTGCAGTTCCAATCACACTCCATCACTAAGTGTCTTCCCCAGTAACTCTTAACTTGTGTCAGGTTGACAAGACCCAGCCAGGACAAATGTAAATATATTTACATTAAAGGGCCTTTAGAAGTAGTTTATATTGTTTAGACCCAAAGAGTGCTGCAAACACAGTCTGAAGTACAATGGGAAATGCCATCTTTCTAAGACAGGGTTGGACACTCTAATGCGGTAACTGAAGATGTTTCCTTCCTCTGGCAGCGGGGCTGATTGATTCCTGGGCTCCTAAGTCACTGTTCACAGGTACAGCCAAAACAACAGGGCATAAACCACCCAGAACAAAATGAATGAGTCACTGTGTGTATGGCTCAGGCTTTGCATTCAAATCACGTGTACCCAGAGGTAAACTGATAATCTTTTGTAAGGCCGGTCCCTGTCAGAAAGGATCATTGTCATTGGTGGGTAGCAGCCTTCTGTGCCTGCATTTCATGTATGGTGCTCTGTAAAAGGCTGCCATCAAGCCACTGAAGCCAGCGGTGAGTCCAGTGTGTGTCAGTGTGTGTCCCAGTAGCTTCCTTTCTGATTCTAGAAGATGGTTCATTGTTCTGGCTATGATATTGAAAACCTAGTTTTTATTTGGTAGTCTCGGGTTTATGATCGTCCATCTTGAGCCCTGTGCTCTCCCACTCCAGCAGTTGGCTCTTCTTCTAGTTCTCCCCCAATCTGGGCTTACTAACAGCATTTGCTCCTCTTGCCCATGCTCCATCCTTAGTGTAAGTATTTGGTATTTAATTTATCCTGTGTGCTTTCTTCTGTAATCACAGGACAGCGATTGCAGCGAGCTACTTAGCACCATCCAGTACTATGACTGAACTGTAGGGCTCATGCAAGTTTTGCTAGTCATGTTCTTCCTGGGTCCAGAGTGAAAACCAAGGCCACATAGTGTTGGTTGACTTCTGCAACAGTCTTAGTTTTCATTAGTGGTCACTTTACAGGATGTTTTATAGGGTGACTTTGATTTTGGGGTTTTTGGATTCTTGGCAGGGAACCTAGAAAACTACTAGTATTGTATCTGTTTCAGAATCCCACATCAGAAGTCATGTGCTAGTGAGAGCTGAGCGCTTGACTGTGGGGTTGGCTGCCAGGTACTTCACTACAGCACTACCGTAATTCATTTCTCATTGTTTTATGAGGAGACTCGAAAAAAATTCTAGTTTTCAAATCATATTTTGCCCACTAATTTGGGTAGATGTTTCTGACTTTCTGTGAAACAGTTGTTACTGTAGGTGGTGCCCAGTAGTGATCCAAAGCAACAACTCTGCCTTTGATCCCTTCCATATGTGTGGGACCCTGCGGCAAGGATTTTCTTTTCCTGCGGTCTGTCTGTACCTTTCTGCCTCCCTCCCTCTCTCCCTGTCTGTGCATCTGTCTGTCTTAGTGGAGATTCCTATGTTATTAATTTGATTATATTTCTTCCCTGTCATTGAGAATTATTGTATTGAGATTCCTATTCAGTATTTAATATATCTATGAAATATAAAAATGAGAAAAACAAGAAAAGCAAAGAATCTAAACAAATCAGGATTTTTGTCTCATTTAAAATGCTTTTTCCTAGAAATTTCAATAATATATGTGGTTGCAGATTTCTGACCTTTTTCAATTGGCAACTTTTTTCAAGTATTAGTGGACATTGCCAATTTAAATCAGGAAAAAAGATTCTACCCCAAAAGTATAGTGTAAGCTGAAAGAAAATATTTGCCTTGCTAAAAAAAAAAAATCCAGTTTTTTTCTCCATTTCACAAAAGGAGGCATGCCCCTGTACCTGGTAATTATTTAGAGGATGCTTTGTTGAATAATTAGATAGAGCATGTGGGTAGTCCCCCCCCGCCCTTTATTTAATCTTGACTTTTATACATTTGTTCTGCAAGCAGATTGCATCTGGTGAGCAAAAGAATAGCACTGAAGTGACAATTGTTCTTTTTTGCAGGAGAAAATTAGAGAAAATTTCCACACTTATTTCCCCCTCTTTGCAGGATACACGAAATTACAAAGAAAGGGGAGAGGAAGATTGCTTCCCACCTCAATTCGCGAGAAGCCAAAGCCTGAGCATGTGCATTGTGATTACCAATTGGCTCAAAGCTGGCGCTGAGCTGTGATTCGGATTGCATCTCTGACAGGACAATAGAGGATCACTGTTGATAAGAACCTTTTAATTTCCTATTTTGTCACTTTAATGTAAGCAGTGACCTATACATTTTTAAAAGGTGCTTGTGGCTTATAAACAGAGCATTGGAAACTGGAAAAGATTAATTTGGGCTTTTTCCTGCTCCCAAGTTAAATGGCTTAGAGTGTTCTGGAAAGGTCATGTTTAAGGAGAACGCTCTGCTTCCTTTCTCATATTTGAAAATGCTTATGGAAATTCCTCGACTAAATGGTAATAGTCACCAGTGTGTTTGTGTCTGGCTTTGGTGGGAGTTGAAGTCATAGGTGGGTAAGAGGGCCTAGGATTTTTAGCCATTGTACTCCTTTACATTTTTAAAATGTGAAAAATTATGACTCTTAAAAGTTGAGAAACTAGGAAGACTCACTGTAAAACATCCTGGGAGTTGGAGGTTGAAAGTCATTTTCAGCTGGAGCTCCAAGAGAGGCCAGACACACCAGATGCTTCTGACGGGCTGATAAAGTCCAGGGACCTTCGCTTCTTTCTGTGCGATGAGAAGCAATGTTAGCCATGGAAACTGGTGGAAGCAAAGTCAATCTCCGTTTCTTGTTTAGAGTTAGTTCCTACGGAATTATTTCCCTTCATTCTGTTGCTACAAGCTCTGGGATTTCATTTCCTGTTTGAACACAGCCACTTCTTGTCGCACCAATTGCTGAATGGTCTTATTAAATAAAAAACATGGAGTCAGGTATCAGGGTTGAAACCCTGAGGGATCAGAGAAATAGGAAGAGCCACAGCTAACCTCACCTCACTGGCACCTCAGCTTCCAAAGAGAGCTACTTCCTGTATATCCACACCTATATGCCTTTCTGTTCTGTTCTCTCATTGGCTCTCTCAGCCCAGCTACATCACTTCTTCTTCCTGCCCAGCTCTGTCATTTCCTGTCTGTCTGTATAGACCTCCAGATCTCTATGATTAGTGCTGGGATTTAAGGTGTGTGCCACCACGCCCGGCTCTGTTCCCAGTGTGGCCTTGAACTCACAGAGATCCAGACAGATCCCTACTCCCAAGTGATAGGATTAAAGGCATGTGTTGCCATTGCCTGACTTCTGTATAGTGGCTGGCTTTTTCCTCTGATCCTCAGATAAATTTTTTTAGGGACACAGTATATTGGGGTGCACAGTACATCACCACAACTCCTACTGTTGCAGCAGATGAAGGACAGGCTTTCTCACAGAAGTAAGGCTGTTCAGAGGCTTTGGATCCCTGAGTCAGAGCAGCTGGGTACAGTATCTCAGGAAAGTCTCATTGGGGTGGCTTCTTGGTTATAGTTTGGGAGGTCATCTCTCCACATAGCCTTTTAAGTTTAGGTGATGGGATGAGTCACTTTTGTTGCTGTGATTAAAACACCATGACACAAAGTGACTAATGTAAGTAAGAGTTTATTTGGGTGTACAGCTTCTGAGAGGGAGTCCATGAGGGCAGGGAAGGCCTGGCAGCAGCTGGGAGCAGAAAGCTGAAGAGCCAGCAAACCAGAAGTGAGACGAGGCTTTGAGAACACCAGTGCAGCTTGGGGGTTAAGGAGGCCTGGCTGTAAGTGTTGAATCATTTCCGGATCATCACGTTTTCCTTCCTAGTGAGTTTGAGCAGGCTTTTGCATGTTTGTTGGCCCTGCATTTGTGGATCTCTTGTTTATTACTTTGGCTCATGTAAAATTATTGGGTTATTTGGGTTTTCTGAACATTTTTTTTTTTTTTTTTTACGTTGAGAAAGAACCTGAGTTATTTTTCTGTGACTATTAACTGCCTAAGCATATTGTTTAAGAACTGGGTTTTTCTACTCTCATTTGAAGACCATGTCTATTATATATCA